GTATATTTTGCCAATGAAGAGAACTGCCTTATCTCTAGGTTGACAGTCAGAAGCAAAATGGCTGCAGCTACAGTCTCTATCTTGTAAATTGGAGTCAGAGCCAGGTGTCATCAGCTGTAGCTTTGTCTTGCCCTTTGAGGTGCCATGCCATCACGGGCCACTATAGGACTCTGCTGGGACCAGTGATTCATACAGGTGCACCTACTATGAATCTACTGTCACTCTTTAAGCATGGGGCCTAGGTCTGGGACAGACTTAGAAGTAAATACAGAAAGTCAATTGATTAATTTTAAATTCTGTGCTCAGAGACACTTCATAGTGGCCTCCATCATCTTCCATCTCTTAATTTTTCAAATTTTACTTTTTTTCATGTCACTGTTCCCCACACTGTCTCTTTGTACTAGTGTAACCATTAAGCTTTATGAAGCTATAGAGAGTAAACTATAGGCTATCACTGTTGAATGCTATTCTATTGTTAGTGGAGGTGAAGTTGTTCCATTTAGTAGGTTTTATTGTAGGTCAATATCTGGTTTGTCTTAGTGTTTATGCTGCAGTATTAGAACTCTTTTCTATAGTTAAAGGTGGCACAGTAGTGGCTGTTAGGTTATGTCAATATCCAGTTTATACTTGACGCTATTGTTATTGCTAATTGTATTATTATAGCCAAGGTGATAGAGTTGTTGCTCTCAATTGGTTTTCTCTTCCTTTTGGAATGTTCCCTTAACAAGTATGTAGTGATCTTCTTTGTCTCTTCTGTTCAGTCTTGGCTTCAAATCTACTCTTTCTGAGAATAGAATGGCTGCCCTTGCTGTTTTTGGGGTTCCTGTTGCATGGAGTATTGTTTCAACCCTCTACCTTTTAGTCTGTGAATTTTTTTTTTAGTTAAATGTATTTGTTATATGCTGCATATTGTTGGATCTTACTTCTTGAACCATTCTGCTAATCTGTTTCTTTTGATTTGTGAATTGAGACCATTCACACTGATGTTTATAACTGATGTATATTGAATGAAACTTGTCATAGCATTTCCCTGTTATTGGCTCCCTTTCTTTATCTTCTGTTTGATTGCTTGCCTTGCCTGGTGGATTCATTATGTTGGGATTCATGGAATTGTTATCTGCATTGTCTTTTTTCCGAATATGCTTAAGAACTTTCTGGAGTCCTGGGTTGGTGATTATGTATTTCTCCACACGTTCTTTATTATAAAAGTATCTTACTTCTCCATCAATTTTGAAAGATAATTTTGTGGGGTACTTCAGTCTGGGTTGGAGTTTGTTTTCTCATCATGCTTGAAATACTTCACTCCAAGCTGTCCTTGATTTCAGAGTTTCTGCTGAGAAACTCAACTGTGAATATGATGGGTTTCCCTTTATAGGTTATAGGTGATTTCTTGTCTCTAACAGCTTTTAATATTCAGTTTGTGTGTTGAATTTTTTTTTTTGTTTTTTTTGGTTTTTCTCCGGTACCGGGAACCGAACTCACGACCTTGCACTTGCAAGGCAGGTGCTTTGCCGCTGAGCTAAATCCCCAGCCCCTGAATTTTTATAATGTTGCCATAGTGTTTTTGTTTTCTTCCTCTGATCATGGCTAATTGGAGCTCCATATGCCTCACTTAACTCTATATGAACTTATTTTTCCATGCTTGGGAAGTTTTCTGCTGTTACTTCTCTGAACAGTTTTTTAAATGCCGTTTGTGCTATCTTCTGATTTTTCATTGATTTCAATTAATAATATGTTATTGTCCTTTGCATCGTCTAGCAGCTGTTGGACTGATTTTTCATGGTCTCTTGCTATTTTCAAGAAGTCTTTAATTTGATGATCACTAGTCACAACCCTGTCTTCCAGGTCTGATATTGTATCTTCACATTGGTTGATTTAGTTGCATATACTTTCAATGGAATTTTTAATTTCCTGGGTATTTGTTTGCATTTGTTTTATGGAATCCATTTCTTTCCTATATTGGACATTCATGGTTTCCATCATTTTTCTAAACTCTTTTATTTTTTAAAATCTGTACATACTCTAGATTCACTAACCATGTCCTTTAATCATCTGTGTGATTATTTCTATTTTGCTTTTTTCTAGAGACTCATTCATCCACTTTGCTGCTTGTGCTGCTACCATTACAGAAAGTTCACCTAAGTGACTTTTGATTTTTTCCACCTCAGTGCCCCCTGGATCTGCACTGGGCAAGCTGGAGGTCTGGGGTTGCATCTAGCTTCCATGTTTTTTCATTCTCTATTTTTTTATTTATGTAGTTTCTGTATTGATGCTTGTAACTTGCTTATAGTACATAGTTTTATTACTAGACTGAAATATTTTTAGGAAATGACTACTTTTCAGAGACGTTTTCTAGATGTGACTGCCTTTCTTATTTTAAATTTTTATGGCAAAAACTAAAATAAAATTTCATAGCAAAATAATAGGAGAATAACAATAGTTAATAGATTGCATATTGTTATCTTAGTTCATTACTCAGAGTACAAGATATGGTCATAAAAGGATCTCCAAACCATATGAGCACAGAGCTGTTTTTTTAATGAACTAAGAGAAACTAGTAGTATAACTATCTTGCATTTTTTCCTTTTCCTTTCATTCCTTTCCCCTTTTCCCTACCCTAGTTCCTTTTCTCTTTTGAACAATTTCTTCCCACTTCACAATATCTATTGTATATTTTGGATCTCATTTACTCTTTAAGTTTCTCACACCAGGCAGACAATATGATTTTGAATCTGTTCTAAGGTCCTGCCCCTTCAATTTTTTAGGGATAAAAGGTTACTGCCTGTGTAGCCTAACACCCACTTCTTTAGTACTGGACTATGGTGGTGTTTATGACCCCTAGAAAACCTAGTTGTTTGCACATGAGGAAGAATAATTGATCACAACTACTATGTAACCTTGGCTAAAGTAGTACAATCTGTAATAACAATAGTTATCAGTTCTCAGTAATAACACTAGTATCAAGTATAGTCTAGAAAATGACACACTCTGATAACTAATAATTTGCCAGGTTTAACCATTAACAAGTTTGATAGTTATATACTAAAATCTAAAACAAGTCAGAAATTATATACAGTAAATGTCCATTCCATAGAGTGATCTTATCCTAAGGGGAGAAAATTTAAAAGGAATGAAAGAAAAAATTAGAAAAATAAAAATAGATAAAGAGATTAGAAGCAAGATTAAAGGGCAAAGAAAGATCACTCAAGCTTTGAGAAACTGATGAAGAAGACAAAAGGGAAAGAAAAACAGGAAAAACCAAATCAACAACAAAGCAAACAAACAAAAAATTGAAAACAATGCTCACACTCGTGAAAAAACAAAAGCAATAAAAAAAAATGACCACAATAATAGCAACAACAACAAAGCAAAAGGAGAGGGAAAAATATTTCCCTTTGATTTCAAGAATGTAGTTATCTTCTGGCTTCTAGTTCTGTGGTAGTGTCCAGTTCAGGATGTGACTCTGCTGTTATTGGTAGACAACAGAGTCAGTCAAAGCCCAGATCCACACACTCTGTGTGTCTCTTGCCAATCTGATCGTGGCTGTCTGACTCTGGATGCCTCTTATATTGTCTCTCACCCAGTTGCTGTAGGATTTTAAAACTCGGAGTCCTGTGATGAAGCCAACCCATGGCTGCTCTGAGTCCCAGGCTCGCTTGGACTGGATTCACTCACCAGCTGTCCCAGTGAACAGCATCCACTGCTCTGTTCTGCTGGTGCATTTCTCCCTAGAGGCTTCTGGAGTCACCCAACCTCATTGTGTCTCTTTGATTTGATCCTCCTCTCTCAAGGCACCAGCTGGGTAGTCAGGAGAGAGTGAAGATTTCCCCCTCTGTTTCCTGCATTCAGATCTGTCTCTTCATTTTCTCTGTGGGCTCCAATTTTCCCTTCAGATCCTTCCTGGGTCCCAACATTACAGAAGAGCAACAGGGGCCCACTTCCCAGGTGAGAGTCCTGATGGTTGATTCTCCCGGGGAAGCACTCCTAGCCATTGATTGCAACTGTGCTGCTAAGATGAAAAACACAAACTACATTTTCTTTTTCCAGACTCTTTCCTGAGGAGATGCTGAGCCCAGGGCCTTTTCCCATGGAGATGCTCCCTCCTCAGGTCCTGGGGGAATCCTTACTGCTAGGGTTCAAGCTGGCAAAACACGTGTGAACTAGACGTGTGGTGGGGAGAGGAAGAGGTGGAGCCTAGCTGGAGGAAGTACAGGATTGGGTTGTATCTCTGAAGGGTCTATTTTGTCCCCAGCCTCTTCCTCTCTCTCCGACTTACTCTCCTTCTCTGCTTTTTTCACCCTGTGCCTCTCTCAAGCCTGGGCCTCACTTAAGCCTCAGCTTCTGCCCATGGCTGTGCCCCTGCCCCTGCCTCTTATATTGTCTCTATTGGAGACAATATAAGATAGCCAGGATAGCCCTGGATAGCCCTGCCAAGGGGAGAAGTAAAGTTCTCACATTTAGTTCATTTGACAATCAGAAAAGGAATCCTCCAATCTGCTGTCTGCAGGCTTCAGAAGGAAGGAAGCCAGTGGGATAACTCTGTCTGATGGCAAAGTTTTGAGAACAGGGAGCAAAGCTGTAGGTTCCGGTCTGAGTTAGGAAGCCGTAGGAAGAGCACATTCAGTGTCACCGGTGAGGAATGGAGTACACGCCTGGCTCTGCTCATAGTGAATGCCCCTTTCCTCTACCTTTCCCTTGTTTTCACCGTGCACTGTGGTTTCTCTGCACTGTGGAGGGCAATACTTCTGCTGCTCATTGGAATGAGAAAGGCTTGGAAGAACCCCTCCCAAACATACCTAGAGATAATGTTTTACCACCTATGAAGCAGGCAGGTGTTCACATGCAATTATGCACCACATGGATCACGAAACAAAATTCCAGAGTAAATAAGATGTTTGTTTCAAAATAAAGATCTTTATGTGTCAAAACACAGTAAGTTACTGAAGGAATAAAAATAATTTAATTCTTTTTAAAACCAGAGACCATACAAAAGAATATATGAGCAGGACAGGATCAGCAGCAGGGAGCAGGGGTTCAGCATGGTGGCCTTGGAACTAGATCCTGCTACAGCTGGGGTGGTGGCTGGTGCTGGAATGGAAACAGGAGAGAGTCAGCATTTGTCCAGACCCCAAATCCGAGGAGCTGCCTCCTCAGCTTTAGCTACCTCAGCTAAGCCAGCAGTGCAGACAGCTTCCACCCCTCTGCTCTGAGGCAGCCACTGTGACAGGTCCTGAGGTGGGTAGAGAAGACCCCTAGGGCCAATGACCTATGCAGGCACTGAGCAACCAGGGTAACAACGTAATCAACCCACCCTTGCTGGTGGTAGAATGGGAGGTGACCCTGGTGAGAGTGGTAGGGAAAGGTCTCAGGAGCTGACCTGTGAGGTGGTTTTTTTTTTTGTTTTGTTTTTCTCCGGTATCAGGAACCGAACTCACGACCTTGCACTTGCCAGGCAGGCGCTTTGCCGCTGAGCTAAATCCCCAGCCCCTGTGAGGTGGTTTTGATAGATTTCAAGAAAGAGGCCAGGTGAGATGAAAAAGAAAGTGATTCTGAGGAAAGGCCTGGTGGGGAATGATGCCTACAGCATGGAGGTCAGCAAGAAACCCATGGTGGGTGGATCGCAGGCCCATTCAGTGAGCAAGAGTTGTTAGGAGGGGATGAGGAAAAAGATGTGAAGAATACACCTGGCACCAATCTTGAGGAAGAAACTACTCCAGATCATTGTAGATGGAGTATTTACACACACACACACACACACACACACACATATGCACATGCACACACAAGGGAGCATCTCATGTTAAGAGATCCATCCCTTCTCCCTCCTCTTCCCAGGTACCTCTGGTCTCGAGACTTTCCTTCCAGTGTTCCATAAACTCAACCATGTCCCACAGTCCTCCATTGATGTCCGGTATAAGAAGAGGCACAGCTCCCTGTCATTCTTCCACTTCTTCATGCACCTCGATCCGGGAGAGACCTCTGTCCACTTTCTTTGGTTCCAGTCAACATGGAATGAAGTCTGTCCATTGCACTGAAACTGCCAGGCCCCACTGAAGTGTCTACCAGCTCTCTGGTGACAGGTCATGATGGCCTGCAGCATGAGGGGAGCTGCCCCATGGAAAGAGAACAGCCTCAGCTCTGGGCAAATCCTTGGCCCCCACCCAATATCCACCTCCTCTGAGCTACTAATCTGGCCCTATTCTTCCTCCACATCCAGCCTCGCTGCTGACTTGTTGCAGGGACCAATGTCCAATTGTTTTCTTACCACACGAATACAATAAATATCCCTACAGTCATACCAGCTCTCTTATTCCCTCAGAGTATTCTGACTTACCTGGGGATGTACAGTTCTCTAGTTTAACGTCAAGCAGTTCCTGTTTGAACCTGTTGCCCAAATCTGCCAGCGTTTCTAACTGCTCTTCCCAGATCCTGGTGCTCTTCACCTTCCCCCCAAGGACGTCCGTGGGTTTGGCCTTGGCACTGCCACAGTCATAGTAAAGAAAAGTCTTCTGATCCACCAGACCCTGAATTGTGCACCACTGTTGTCTGGGTGGGGGCTTAGGATTGATGATGAATTCATAGCAAAGAGAGGGGGTGCCTGTGAGGGAAAAGGATGAGGATTAGGGGTGAGCAGGGAATGGAGACATATGTCATCTAAAAATATCTGTGAGTGGAGGAGAATCTCTTAAGGGCTGAGCTGGTAGGGGAAGGACTGCTCTTTCCCACACTGTGCTCTCCCCCATTGAGCGCTGGTATTTCTTTCCTTGTTTGAGGAAGGCAAGGACATTCCCTTCTAGTACCCTGATTTGGCAGGAGAAGTTTCACACTCCCTCTGCCCATTGGACTAATTGCCACATTCATGACCATGTGACCTTGTTGGAAGTAACTGCCAGGATGGAAGAGGGTCTTCAGAAGCAACCCAGGTGCGCAGCAGGGAGATGGGGAGTGTGTGGAGCTACCCTGTCCTTTAGGGTGAGGACAGGAGCCACGTGAGACACAAAGGTTCAGTTTATGATTATGGTTCATAGGGTTTGTACTGCCTGCTGGGCGGGGCACTACTGTGCTAGTAGATTGGCTTCTGTCAGCTTGGGAAAGGGCAGCCTCCACTGCAGGACAGAGAAAAAGCAGTTAATAGATCTTAGGTACAGGTACTCCGCACAATGAATGTAATCATTTTGTACTGCAAACATGTACTCATAAAAATAAAAACTAAAAAAAAAGAGAATCTAGAATTTCCCAGAAATACAGCAGAGGAAAGAATCAGTAGGCTCAGACAAGTGCCCACCCAGAGTGGATGCAAAGTGAACACCAGAAAAATGTGTTGTGCACTGTTCTTCATGGAAAGTCAGGAGGACTCTTGTGTATCAGCACGTAAAAATGTCTGGTGAGCAAAACAAAAGCCAGCATTAGTGTAGTGAAAGAAATAATAAAGATCAGAGCAGAAATGAAGACAGTAGAGACTAAACAATCTGTATGAAAGGTGATTCTTCAGGGTGATAAACAGGACAGTGGTCAAGTCTGGTTCCCATCTGCTGGCATGTTGTGTCCAGCTGCCCTCACACTGAAGGCAGAGCCCAGACAGATATGGTGTGGCCTGGGGACCTCAAAATATAGAACAGAAAAGTGATGGATTCCTGCCCAATTAACCACCACCTTATGTTGCTCTCTCCTAGAGAGGTACACTAGGAGGCCTGGGTTCAAAGGCAGAAGTCTATAGATGCTGCAGTCTACAGCCTCTGCCAGTGTCCTACTGAGCACAGGGCGCCCCAGCCCTGCTGCTTTAGGTTCTGTGGTGGGAGAGGGGTGTGTTGCTGTGGTGTGTTGCTGGGGTGTGTCCTCAAGAAGGGGCACAAGGTACCTGCTGGGGCTTGTGGTTTGGAAGATGGAGGAGGCCTTGTGTACCTGAGGTCTGGGCAAGATGGGCAAGGGCACAGGGGGCATGGGGACACAAGGGCACAGTAACATAGTAGGGAAGTTGGTGGATGGGTCTGGAGAGGCTGTGGGGTGCCAGGGATATGATCTGCTGGCAAAGACTCTTAGGAATCTGTGGGGGCAGAGTTTATAAGAAACAGTGCAAGACGCTCTGCGGCTTAGGATCCCATTCAGGTTTGGAGGCTGCACTTCGCCGGAGTTTGGGCGCGGTGGGGCGGCCCTAGGTCACGTGACTGACAGCCCTGTAGGTGGCTTTCCCTACTGCCTCTTCACCCCTGCTTCCCAGGAATTCAACTGCTCTGCCGACCCCTGGGGGGCGGGGCGGTGGTAGTGGTGGTGGTGAGAAAGGCTAAAGTGACCCGGACCCGAGGGAAGGAGCCGGGCGCTGGGAGCCGGCAGTGGGGAGTAGGACAGCGGGAGCAAGGAAAGCCAGGCGGGGAGTGCCAAAGCCTTGACTCACCAGCCCAAGCCGTCCAGAGAGGTTCCCGCAGCAGCAGCAGCAGCAGCAGCAGCAGCCTCCGGGCCGGGACGCGCAGGAGGAGGTCAGGGGTCGCGGTCCGCGCCATGGGTCCTCTGAGAACAGGGAAGGGGTCGGGGGCATCCTGAGCGCAACCACCACAGCAGGGCGGGGACCTGAGGACCCGAGGACCTAACCTGCGGCTGCCCCGCCCGCGCCTCCCGAGGTTCCGAGGACTTGGGAGACTCAGGGCTTCGGGACTCAGGCCTTCCGCGGGTCCTCCCCTACTGCCGTCGGAGCCCCAGAGCGCAATCCGGTTTCCTCGGGATCCTTCTCCAGCCAGCGGCGCCGCGGCCCGCAAGGGACGCCCCGGCCCGCGGCTCCCGGCGCTCTCCCGCTCCCCGCGCCGCGCCCCGCCTGGCCTGCGGCCGATTCCCGCTCCGCTGCCCTCGCGAGCTTCCAGCGCTGTCCCCGTGGGCGCCGGAGACCCGGCCGGCGCCCGGCTCGCAGGAGCGCTGAACCCCGCTGCCTACGGAGCCGAGGAGCGAAGGGGTGGGGTTTGCCCGGGACCGGCTATTTGGTGCCGGAGCCGGGGAGCTGCTGCCGAAGCCGGAGTCGGGGGCCGGACTATGCCCTGGGCAGGCTGTGGGACCCTTCGACCCGTTGGGGAGGCGGTGCCGGGGAGTCAAGGCCCCTTGAGCAGTGGTCGTAGGAGCCGGGACCCGGACAGGGCGTCCCGGGGCCGGGGCCGGGTTATCCGACGTGCGGGCCTGGGGGAGCCGGGCCGGGGCCAGGGGAACGGGGTGGCGGGACGCGGCCGGAGACGCTAGGCTGGCGAAGGCGGGGCTGGGGCAGAAGGGGCTGGAAGGGGCGGGTGCCAGAGACGGCCGGAGCGGACGCCAAGGGCAACAGGGCTCGGGCTGCTGAGTGGGAAACAGGGCTTTCACTGGGTTGGTGGGGCCTGTGACTCAGACTTTTTAATTCCTGGATAAATTAACTCGAGCATTTTGTCTTCTTTTTTATTTGTTTTTTTTTTTTGTTTGTTTGTTTTTGTTTTGTTTGTTTGTTTTTGAGACCTTGTTTCGCTGTACAGTTCGGGTCTGGGCTTGATCTCACTTTGTAGCTCGAATTAAAAGCTATCCTCTGGCCTAGGCCCCCCTAGTGCTGGGATCACAGGCATGTGCCACTTTGCCCAGCAGGGATTTTATTTCTCGTTTGTTTCTCTTGTCAGACCACTTGTTGCCTTTTGTGTGAACATCAGTATATTGAACAGGTCCTGATTTTTTTTCTAATTTTCCACCCCTCAACTTTGTGATAATAAACTCTGGCTGCAACTGTTAGAAATTTATGTAACTGTTATGCTTTTCAAACATACACTAATTGAATGAACACAGAGATAACTGATGTCTGTATGTTTGAACAACACTTTCTCATTAGCAAGATAAAGGAGTAAGGAGACTGATTTAGCAAGACAACTTCTTGCTTGGAGTTGTCCCACTCCTTCCTGGGCCCTCTCTTTAACTATCTTCACCTTCAGCTTTGCGCTCTTCCCCTTCTTTCTCAGAAGACCTCAGTGTGTTAAAGCCCGCAGACAGTCTCCTTAGAAGACAAGGCGGTTGGAGACAGTTGTTAGCTGTGCTGTCAGCAAAGAATCTTATTCCTAGGAGAAAGAAATATGCAGGAAGCAGTTTCTCTATTGCAGCAGTGATTCCTCAGTTAGAAAAGCCTTGCCCACAGGCTGGAATTGCATGTGTGCTGTCTCCTGGTGGCTTAGAATAATGTTCACTTTCTTCTTGCTGGTTCTTTTGGACATTCCCACCCTTGTCTTCTTCATCCAGTGTCCATGCAGGCCAGCATCCTACCACCAGGTCAGGACCATGTAAATAACTTCACACTGCCATTTCAGCTTGTGTGGCCCTGAGGGAAGTGATCGCCTGTGGAGATGAGAAGATGCTGGGTTCTTGGTTAATTAAAAATTTTTAACTAATTTTTAAATTAGTCCTCTGTCCCTAATCTCAGTCTCAGGCAAAGTCTCCGGATACAAGCAAAATGCCCACAAACTTTCTGCCGATCCGTAACATACATCGTCTGTGATTGGTTTTTCCTGGTGCAGAAAGAAATAGAACAAAATAAAAACTGCCTTTATTGTGGGCATATAGAAGACCCCAGTAGAAAGGAGGGACGTGGGGCTTCTGAGGGCCTGGCCTGGGGACAAAGGCTAAATAGGACTAGGCTGGAGGCATGGGCTTAGTGGGTGGACTGCCTGATGTGGCAGGCCAGAATTGGGCGGGAGCATGGGAAAAGGAAACAGGATATTACAAAAAGGGAAGTAGGCAGTCATAATCTGACTTAAAGGAAGAAGGGCGGGGCTTAGCACATGGCCTCCAGTGGCTAGGCACCATATTGGCTCCGCACCATAGTGACTCAGCAGGAATCTTAATGAGGAGAGAAACCCATCATTCCCGTCTTTTGGTTATAGGGGGTGATGACTCCTCTTAGACTGCTTCCTGCTGAATAGGGGCATTGCTGTGATTAGGGGGCAAGGGAACAACGGGTGTCGCCTATGTGAAAGCCAGTGTTAGGGATGTCTGCTAGAGCAACTAGTTTGTTGGCTGCGATTGCTTGAAACCTGGATTGAATAAAACTATACAAAAGTTTAAAAATGCAGGGCCCTACAAGTAAACAGGTTATTATCATGAATATAGGGCTCAGAAGAGGTAGCAAGAATCGTGCCCATGACCCAAATGTGTCATTCCACGAGGACCATGGTATAGTGGGAGAGAGATCGTTTCTTAGCTCTGGGTGTTTATGCTCAAGCCAGGTGCAAAGACTTTTTACCTTGTCCTTAAGGATCCCAGATTCATTTACAAAGGAGCAACATTCTTCTCCCAGTATAGCACAGGTGCTTCCCTTTTTGGCTGTTAGGACATCAAGGGCACAGTGGTTTTGGAGTGTAACTGCTGCAAGACTACTAATTTGGTTTTGAAGTATGGCCTGTTTTATTAATTTTACTTTTTATGTAGTAGAGAGATCAGCTATGGTGTCATTTAAGACCTGCTGAGTATAGTTAGTTAAGGCCTTGATATATATCATATAACACTCTCTTTAGACAAGATCTTGTGGTTTTCAGTAA